GATACGGAGGAGGATGAGGATATYGTCGATTCGTTGCTGATATTGTCGATGCGTGTGAGGCTTGCTTKGATCGATGGCGTTGCTGATACTGTTACTGGTGATACTGTTACTGGTGATACTGTTGCTGATATTCTTGCTGGATATTTAGTGTTGCTTATTAGTGAGGATACTKATTAGTGTCGGTGGAGGGGGGGCAAGAAGATGTCGGTTGTCGGAACAAGAAGCGCTCTCACTGGAATTATGGTAGCTTCAGCACATTGTCGTGAGGACTCCTCTGCGTCCAACAACTGACAAGGAGTTGCCTTGCTGCTATCGGCATCAAGGATCAGTATTGGTGCAACATTGGAGGTGCAACATTAGATGTTATTGTAGGTAAATATGTTCATCGAGAATTAATTTCCAGCACTCCGACAGACATCATGACAAAAATTCCATAGAAAAAATGGTGTGTTCCGACAAGATTTCGAGATGTCAGTCGGCGCGCTCGACATATTTTACACGGGAAAAAGGTAGCCAAAAATCGACGACCCGGTCGTACATCTTGCCGCCAACTCTATACGATAGTAGTACTACTAAAAGTACCACCCTGTCCTCTGATTTTGGTGGTGTCCCTATCTGAAACAAGAAAATGCAAGGTGTGTATGCTGAGGATTTTCTTTTTAGATAGGGACAGACATTTGTCATCAAAACCAACTCTGAGTTCTGACCAGGGAGTACCCAAATTCTTCAGAGGAAACTCCTTTTCCTTAGCCCCAATGGGCTTACTACTACTAGTACAAGAAGTTGGTGCTGGAGTAGTACCACTTTTAAGAGGCATTTGGTAGAATCTGTACTACATTCTACCATGCTTGGCTGCTTTCAGCTGCAATATTCATTATTTAAACCCAGCTCTCTTTCAAATGCTTCTTGTACTCTGACCATGGGAATAGGCCTCCTTTCAAGAACTGTAAGTGTCCTCCGTACTATGCTGTTATCATGTGCTGCTGGGTCTCCAGTGCTGCTAGCTATCAGCAGCAGCAGCAGTGGCTCACATCAGCATCCGTTGAGCCTATTCAAATACCTCATTTGTTTGATTACTACTTAGGGCATCCGACATGTGCTAAACCACACAAAAAATGGATTACTAAACTACTACTAAAACTACCAAATTTATTGTCATTTTTTAATATGATTGTCTACTATCTCTGCAACTGAATATCAGACAATAAAGACCTAGTATAACATACAAATGAGTGTGTTGGTCATAATGGCGGTGGGTATGAAGGATTATTTGAAATCATTATTATTACATGACCTACATTAAATTGAATCCTGCCAAAACTACTACTAGGTTATTTTCCACCATTCCTTCATAAACTCATCATGTACAAGGCTTATCATATTTATATAGCAGGAATGTACCACTCTCCTCTCAAGCAACAAGAAGAAAATAGGAAGATACCATCTGTTTGCTGTGCAAAGTGATGTTGAATATTTTGTACTATCCTTGTCTGAAATGTCCCTTTTGTACTGCACTACTGTTAGATAGCTTTGGAAATGGAAAACCTTCTGGAGAGCATGAACTAATGTTCTTCTTTGTCTGAAAAACAGTTCCAGTTGATACCCAGTTGTGTTCTTCATATGATTTCTTCACAACTTTCATTGCTGTAGTTTAATAGTTGTCCATGAACAGTAAACAACATTGTTACTAGTATCTTGTCCAAGGTTGGATTGAATTAGCAACTGCTGAATAATATCCCAGGTGGACCCACTACTAACACCAGCAGTGCCAATCTCAAAGGGAAGTAAGTACCCAGTATCTGCTGTACCGTATCATGATACTGCAGCAAAACCTTCTTGTTACAATGCCGCTTGATTGGCTTCTTAGGAAGATATGGGACAAACCAGATTGCTTGTCTTCCTTTGTAAATACTAGCTACTAGTAGGGACACTATTCCTCCTCTATATCATCACCCAACTTCCAACTTCCAAGCTGTGTTGGCATTGCTGTCAATTTCTCTTCCCATTTCAACTGGTTCTGATCCTTTACTGATCAGCAGATACTCTAAATTGTCAAGAAAATTGATTGCTTCCTCCTCATGTCCTTTTTGTACCTTGTTGAGAAGTCAGTACACCAGGCTACAACTTTACCATGGGTTTTGCAATCTTCTAAACAATTATGTGCATTGGTAAGTTCTTCACTGGTGACATTTTTGTAGACAGCAGAGAGATGCAGATCAAGTTGTGGCAAAGATAGTCCAGCTCATCCTCATCTTGTTGGTGTTGTTCCAGATCAGACGAATTGCCAGAGATGTCATGGTCAAGGAGTTCCTGGTTCTCATCACCACCAGAGGATACATCAGAGTACCACTAGGTGTCATCAGAAAGAACACTTTCAAGAGAACCAATAGCGCCATTACTGAGAACACTGGTGGTGCTGTCCACTACTACTACTAGGGAAGGACTTCTGTGAGGTTCTGGACCAAAATGGTGATACTAGTAGTACTACTACTATGACAATAATTTTATGTTGGTAAATAATATGATTGTTTGCATGATAGTTTATGTTTTGGTTTGGAGTGTTTGGAGTGATTTCTTTTTTCTTTTTTGGAAATTATGAAGGAATGAATGAATGAGCAGAAAAGTGGTTATATTTGTTTCATACTTCTTTCTGTATTTCAGTCTTATTTTGTGTAGAACTTGTACTGCAGTCTACACAGTTTGAGAGAGAGAGAAAAAAAATCTTTGAAACTCAAAAAAAACCCTAAATTGCTGAAGGGGGGGAATTACGAAAAAGTTGAAAGTTACTACCAGTAGTAGATTTTTCCACGCGCGTAGTCACTGGGACGTTACGAAACGACTCATAACCAGATACTTTAAGCTACTAGACCTACGGCTGAGCTACTGAGTCACGTCCCTGTCTTCGCAGTATTCTTCTGATATCCTGTGACACTTTGTGTTTTTAAGAACGCTGAAATGCCGTAAAACGAAATAGAAGACGAGAAGGCGACTTTTGTTTCATAGATCGTGTGTTAACAATACATACGGTACATCTAGTACCGGAATTCAGTAAGAACATATCGGCACTTCCCTCCGTACGTCAAGTGTCAAGGTCAAAAGCCAACTGCCCGCAACATGATGTCTTTATTCCTTGTTAGCGAACTTTTCTTGGTTGTAAGAAAGCTGAAATCTATCCCAGTGATGTTTTCTGCCTTTTCATTGGATCATTGCATCATTTTTCAACACCTGCTGACACCAGCTTGTTTTCCCCATATGTTCCACAAGCCAATAATGCTCATCTTTCAAATCTTCGTTCGTCATTGAAGCCGATTACAAAGACATCATCATAAGGTACGACGTCTTTGGTCTTTCTCGCTGTTTAGCAATGGAAGTCTCGCCACTTGAGAGAATAATGAGGAAAAGCAAAATTGAGTGATAGCGACAAAGAATACAAAAAGGATAACCATGACGCTTAGAACTTCCAAGTGTAGTCGGTACAATATAGACCAGCGATTGACTGTAGATGCTCCGACGGAAACGCATCGTCCTCTTCAACATGGCCTAAATACACAAGGACAAAATGGAGTGGATTGCATTGGTCATCGCATTGTTTTGACGAATTCGTCAAATCCGTTACCATCAACACCAGCATCACCACGTTCCATCTTCGCCGCTTATTGGAAAACAAATCATAGGCCTTCATCTATCTCGCCAAGATCGAGCCCCGTTGGTGAGCCTGAGCGAATTCGGAGACAACAGCAGCAGCGGCAACAACAACGACGACAAATACACCAGCCGAAAACGTATTCTTATTTTCACAACCAAGATCCATTCGAGTACTTTGGAATCGCGGAAGCCCAAGATAACTCCAAAACACAACTACACGATGACACAGATGATTCTTCAATAAATTCTTACGAGCGTGTCCTACGGCAAGAAGAGGCTGCATCATCCATAGCAATTCATGAGCGCAGCAGTACATACCCATGCTTATCTGCTATTGATATTAGATCGATGGGAACCCTTCTCGTTAGCACAAAGAAAACGACTCAATCGGATACGATCTTGTTTGCAAAGGCGTCATCACTACAGAGATCATGTCTTCGGAAGGGACGATTCTCGTGCTGTAACAATAGAAAAAGCAAGAGAGAGAACCAACTGCAACCCTCCAAAGAAGCAACACCAAGAGCATCAAAGGTATCGTTTGAATCCGTTGTTGAGATCCAATGGTTCGAAATTCCAGCAGAAAAATGGGCTCCCAATGGATGGTCAAGTTGGTTTGGAGCATAAACTGATAACAACTGTTGGAAAGGACATATACTAATGATCGTCTGAAGTAATCATCTTCTGGCACAGCATAATTCATAGATAATAGCAACTCAAAAAACGATCACAATTACGCAGTGGTAGCAATAAAATGGGGTTCCTCTTCTCTCCTTTATGACTTTTTTTTCTTCTTCATCATCCATTACCATTTTATGTAAGTATTACTACTAGCACGAAAACACAGACCAGTACTACTACTTGTACAATCATGATCTTCTCTTGTCGTCCTCATTGTGCCTTGTTTTCTCGCTCCTTTTTTTTTCTTTTTGTCACCAGAAGAAAAGATGAATACAATTAAACCAATAGTTGTAAATATGCCCACATACCATGTGGCAGGTGTTGGAGTGAAACAAACACACAACTAAGGTGACGACACCAGAAGTATCGAAGATAAGAGGAATTTGTGTTAAATACTACTAAAAAACAATAAAATGAAAATGCTACATCGCAACACATTTGTACTCTCGGTGGGGATCGAACCCACGACCTTGGGTTTATTAGACCCACGCTCTAACCAGCTGAGCTACGAAAGCAGAATTAGCTGGACATCAGCGAGTTTTTGAATCTGGTGAAATTTGTATTGAGAATCCGAGGAGTATGTTTCTCAACTCAACACAAGCACCAACTAATTGTCAAGCTTAGGTCTAGTAGCTTCTTTATTATTTGAATATCTTGTTGATACCGTAGGAATGAACCAAATTGTTTATAATTTTTTAAAAATTCCATTGCATACGTGCCGACTGACATAAATTCGTCTTCACCCAATATGGGAATTCGAAAAGCTGTTACTACTGCTTGTATCATCATTGTCACCAACGAATCGTTGGTTGAAAATCTCAACAATTGATGTCGCAGTTTCTTCCACGGCACGTCCAGTGACATCGACTTCCGTCCAATTATGTTTCTGACAGAGTTTTCGCACGGAACCCAAATCCTTCAGAATGTAATTCCGATCGGCGTAGTTGGATTTCGGAACGACGATACCCTTTCCCGCAAGTTCGAGTTTTTCTTCGATGTCCTTAACTCCTCTGCGCTCCAGTCGATTGGTTCGTATTTTTCTTAATTCACTTGGGCTGATTGTCAAGCAAAAGACGCGTTTGGGATCGACTTGTTCCAATAATTGTACCGGTGGAGGTACCTCCATGACCAACGGAATGTTTGCTACCTTTAAAGACATAGTTTGAGATAAAACCACACTCAGTGGTGTCTTTCCTGAGCGACTGACTCCAACCAAAACAATGTCTGCTTCTGGCAGAAGCCAAGGAGCTTGTCCGTCATCGGCCTTCAGACAAAATTCCACTGCGTCGATCCGTTGATAGTACGAATCGCCGAGATTCGATTGGGACTTCGTTTTTCCGTCGCCTTGCTTTCGATTCCTTGGGCTAAACAAGGCGGGAATGCCCAGTGGGTCTTCGTCTAAAAATTTTGACAGGGCATTCAGCGATGGACCGATCAAGTCAACGTGCAACAAATTAAGCTTTCGGCACTCCTCGCCCGCGAGGGCCCGCAATTCCGGTTTTGCAATGGTGTACATGACGCAAGCTCCTTTCTTTTTGGCAAGTTTCATAATATTGGTCAATGCTTGTTCAGATCGGACAAATGTAAAGGTTCGAGTTCGGACATCGCAGGCTCCCGCAGAAGTACAGTCCCCTTCGTCATCGTCGTCGTCGCCTTCCTTGTTCTTCTCGGTGGTATCGTATGGAGCCTTTTCGTCCGCACAGGTATCAAACTGCGCCAACGATTTCAATAAAATCGACCTCGACATAACGCCAGTAGCATCCGATATCAAAAATATTCTTTTCACTTCCGGGCGCCGTCCCGGTGGCAGGCATGATGCCTCCTCTTCATCTTCTTCGTCCTCGTCAAAGAAACTAGCAGCATCAAAAAGTTGTGTCGCCGAGTTTTTACATATCCTGTCGTGTCTCTTTCTGACAGCGCCAGAAGCGGTTGCAATAGTCGATCTTGTGGAGAAGGCAAATGCCCATGAAAAAGTCAAGGAGTTTTGGCACCAAAGGAGCAATAGGATCAAGCCAAACGAAATTTTCTTGTCAATGTTTTCCATGGTCGTCCAATCCCTTCAAAGGAAATAGGCTTGAAGTATACTACTGTAAGATGATATCAATATCCCAAATGCCTATCGTAACTTCTTCCGTGCCTTTCTTGGGTACTTCTTGAAATTGGATATTCGGACAGATGCTCATCAAATGAAAAATTGGGATGGATTTGGAGTTTCGCGGTCTGAGATTCGATTGCAAGAAAGTGTAAAACTTCTAGACAGAAACTCGCAAACGATAGCGGAGGCCGGCACCAAGCCAAACTTGTGCACATGTCCCACCTGGATGTCAGTCGTGCACGATGAGATCATCATGTTGCGTCAGATTATATTTAACGACCCATGAAAAAATACTTAAGGACATGAGTATGGAACACATGACGCATCGAATTGAAAATTGTCCAACGGATTCACCTTCTGTTTGGTGCCAGACATTTTCCATCAAGTTGTGAGTCAACTTCGTGAACTAAAGTCATGACCAACTGTCATTATTTCTCGCTCGTTCCAAAATGGATTCTAGAACATCAAACATTTGTACCGCACATCATTGGCGATCACTTTTTCATGGTAGCGTCGAAATTGTCATAAATTCAATCAATCAGAACAACAACGGATTTTCTCACGCAATCAGCACACCAAATCTTTGAGAACTTAAAAAAAGATTACAGCGCAACCAAAATTTCCAAAATGAAGATTAATTCACTAGCTCTCAGAGCCGTCCTTCTACTTGCGGCAGGTATCAACACCAATGCATTTGCTCCACCAAAGACGGGAACTACCCCTGCAAAAATGTTGTCGTTCTCTTCGTCACAACAAAACGCGGTCGTCAAGTCAAAATCAGCACTCTTTACGGCCACAGTTTCAAGTGCAGCTCAAGTTGGTTCCGACCTCGGCTTGGAATACGCACCGATCGCCCCGTTTGGGAAGGGAGCAGCTGACGCCAATCTTGGAAAAGACGCCAAGCGAATCTTGGGCGGAAAGGGAGCTAATCTTGCCGAAATGTCAGAGTTGGGACTGTCCGTGCCACCCGGCTTTACCATTACGACGGAATGTTGCGACCGATACTGCTTCGATGAAGAGTGGAACAAGTCCCTGCCAAAGCCATTGATGGATGAAATTTTGGATTCAATTGACGCAGTCGAAGACGAGATGCAATCCAAGTTTGGGTCCCCAGAGAATCCCCTACTATTATCGGTGCGCTCTGGTGCAGCAATCAGCATGCCCGGCATGGTACGTAGTCGAATCAAAGTTTTTCATTTTTCTGGTGTTGGTCGAAATATCTCGTCGTGCGATTTCCCATCTCAAATGACATCATGTTTTTGCTTTATCATTTTTCCTTATTTTCAACGAATAGATGGACACAGTTCTGAATCTCGGAATGAATGACGAAGTTGTCGAAGGACTAGCGAAAAAAACTGGAAATCCAAGATTTGCCTGGGATTCCTATCGGTGAGTAAAAATTACTGATATGATACCGACTTCAAATATACTTTGTTCGACAAATACATTTTTTCCAATGATTTCTTCATCTCACCGAGTGTCAACCGCCTCAACAAAAATCTATGATTTGCGTTTTTCCTTCCTCAAAAACGTTTTAATTTTTTTTGCAGCCGATTTTTGGAAATGTTTGGAAATGTTGTTTTGGAAATTCCACGAAGTCATTTCGAGGACGAGCTTGACGATATCAAATACGAAAAAGGAGTGAACGAGGATTCCGATTTGTCGGCCGAAGACCTACAAGAACTTGTTGGCCGCTTCAAGGATGTCTATGGTACGATGGATTTGTCGTTCCCGCAAGACGTCCACGAACAACTGAAGCTTTCTATTGGTGCCGTTTTCAATGGGTGGATGGGACCTCGTGCCATAAAATATCGACAAGTAGAAAACATTCGTGATCTTCTCGGAACCGCCGTCAATGTACAAGCGATGGTTTTTGGGAATATGGGGGACACATCCGGAACGGGAGTCTGCTTTACGCGGGACCCCAACGTTGGAACTCCTGAACTTTTTGGTGAATTCCTAATCAACGCCCAGGGAGAGGACGTTGTGGCTGGAGTAAGAACACCTCGACCGATTGCTGAGATGCAGGATGTTATGCCAGAGGTCTACGAAGAATTTCTAAAAAATACCAAGATTCTGGAGGAAAAATTTGGGGATATGCAAGATATAGAATTCACTATTCAGGAAGGAAAGCTCTTTATGCTTCAGACCAGAAACGGAAAGCGTGGAGGGGAAGCCGCCGTAAAAATTGCCGTAGATTTGGTTGGCGAAGGACTCATCGGAAAGGACGAGGCCGTTGCAAAGGTATTGCCCGAACATTTAGACCAGCTATTGCATCCTCGATTCCCTGATGTAGAACTTCAAGAATACAAAGATGCCGTCATTTCTCGCGGTCTCCCTGCATCTCCCGGTGCTGCTGTCGGTCGTATTGCGATGTCGAACGAGAAGGTTGTCGAGAATAAAGAAAACGGAATTCCCTCAATCATGGTTCGTGATGAAACGTCCCCAGACGATGTAGAAGGAATGTTCGCCGCAGAAGGAATTCTAACTGCTCGTGGAGGCATGACGTCTCACGCAGCTGTGGTAGCCCGAGGCTGGGGTAAGCCCTGTATTTGTGGTTGCACTTCCTTGAGTGTCGACGAGGCAAATGGTAAAATAATTTTAACGATGGATGATGGAAGCCAGAAAACCTTCAAGGAGGGCGACTTCATTAGTCTCAATGGTCAAAGCGGTGAAGTGCTAGAAGGGTCACAGACCGTAGCACCTCCGGCAATCACTGGAAACCTCAAGACGTTTATGGAATGGGTAGACGATGCTCGGGAAATCGATGTATTGACCAACGCGGATACACCCGCAGACGCTAAGGAGGCCCGTAAAAATGGCGCCAATGGAATCGGGTTGTGCCGATCGGAACACATGTTTTTCAAGCCGGAGAGAATCGCCAAGGTTCGACAGCTTATTCTTGGAAACCAGGAACAGGAAAAAGAGGCATTGAAGGAACTTTTGAAATTCCAACGAGATGACTACGAGGGAATCTTCACGGAGATGGATGGTCTTCCTGTTACTGTAAGATTACTTGACCCTCCTCTGCACGAATTTTTACCTTCGTTGAAGGAAGACAGCGTTCTTTCGGAATGTGCGGAACAGCTAGGAATCACTGTCGATGAATTAAAAGAAAAGGTTGAAGCGATGGAGGAAGTCAACCCGATGTTGGGTCTGCGTGGGTGCCGACTTGGCATCACACGTCCCTCCATCATTGAAATGCAGACACGAGCTATTCTCGAAGCTGCGCTGAATGCAATCGACGCCGGAGTTGACGCACAGCCAGATATAATGGTTCCTTTGGTTGGAAAGATCGAAGAATTCCGACACCAGAAGGCTTTGATTCAATCTGTTGCCGCAAAAGTTTTCGAAGAAAAAGGAAAATCGTGCAACTACAAAATCGGTACCATGATCGAAATCCCACGCGCAGCGCTGACTGCTCATCAGATTGCCGAAGAAGCCGAATTCTTTTCCTTCGGCTCGAACGATCTGACTCAGATGACGTTTGGCTATTCTCGTGATGACGTAGGAAGTTTCGTCCCCAATTACATGAGCCAGGGAATCCTGCAAGATGATCCCTTCGTCACGTTAGATACTGAAGGTGTCGGACAGCTGATCAAAATGACTGTCGAACGTGGCCGCGAGGTCCGCCCCAACCTGAAGGTCGGTGTCTGCGGAGAACATGGCGGCGATCCTCGCTCGGTTCATTTCTTCTCAAACGAAGCTGGATTGACCTATGTTAGCTGCTCTCCATTCCGAGTCCCCATTGCTCGCCTCGCCGCGGCACAAGCATCGGTTGAACGAAAGAAGTAGTTCATAAATAAGTCAGCAGTAGTGCACAGCTGATCGAGTGAGAAAGCCAACGATAACGAAAGATACAATTGAATCTAAAAACCACAACTAATAAACAATATTATTGTATGTTCAATTATTTGAAGATTCTCATACTTTTTCAAGAATTGTGAGTTACCAGTACTTTGGGTACTTTGCTTCGTAGAAGAACCGTACTTCACGATTGAGTCGTTGAACGATTGGCACCGTTCCGTGTCCGTTCTCCGAAGAACTCTTCTCGATATTTTTTGATACAGTACCAGGTAGTTCGACTATGATTCTTTGGTTGGTGCCTTCTACAAATGAGTGCGATTACGAGTACGAATACGTACTTCTAGTTTATTAGGGTTCGTAACGGAATGCGATACTATCTTGGGGGAGACAAATCATGCTGTGTTGAATGAATCTATTCCCAAGACACGTGGGATATTCCAGCACCTACTCCCCTCGACCTGTATCGACTCCTTACTCCATCTCACCGAACTTTAATTGTGTCGAATAAAATCGAAGACAAAGAAAATGATGATTTTGCCACTGGCTTATCTTCAAGTTACAGCATTGGCGATGTCGTCAAATGTTCTTCCCGCTGCTTTGGGCTTGGTTCTCTCGCTCACGGCATCTCCATCTACGACGATACCCGTAGCAACCACTTCGGAGGTGACACAAACGATACTGTCTTCGGAATCGCACACAACAACCATCCGACCACAAACCGTAGAAAATGTCCCGGTGTTGGAAATTCTAAAAGTTTACGGCAAGCTCGCCGGACCCAACTGCTATGGAAAGAAGGCACCACCGGGATCCTCTTGCCAAATACGACTCCGAGACCTAGAGCAAGCATTCTCGCCACTTGAAACGGATGGCAGCAATGCAAACACCGCTGAAAATCCCAGCAGCGTGATTTCGAGAGAGGAATTCGCATCGAAACTGGAACGCATGGAATTCCAGTGGCCCCTCAAACCCTACGGGATTAACGAAAAGAGCCTGACCAAAACGGCGATCATGAACAAGGGGGCCGAAACACGGGTCTTCATGGAGGAATTGGAATCGCGGGAAATGTACGATCCTAGGAATCCGGCTGGCCCCCTCCCGACATCCCTGCGGCCCGCCCTAAACCGGGAGCTGGAACGCGAAGGCATACGCGACGCGCGTGCCATCGATCTGGCCTACGAGGCACTGATTGGTAGCGGCGAAAGCAAGGGCATGTTGCGTGCAGAACAAACGGAATACATAGATTACTACGATTTCCTCAAGAGGATCGGTCCCAATTCCATAACATGGCCGAAGTAACTGTTGCTCATCTGTTTCATATGATAGTGGACGCAATACGATTCGCGCTCGTTTCGTATAGAGCAGAATCAAAAATGGCTCGCAATCTTGATCTATTATCATTTCTCTAGGCATCTACGGTCAACGCAAAGGTTCAGAAGAGTGCATGTAGCGGATAAATTTTCTTCAAAAATTTTGAATGCACCCAATAGGCCTTTGCAGTTGACTCACAAAAAAGAACAGTCGACACTTTCGTGTGATACGCTGATACGACTTTCTGCTTGCTGGATCGATGCTTGTTTGTTTTCACTCTCCGTATTAGATCGCATCTATTTTGGTTCCTCCAGCTATTGTAGCCCATGCCGTGCCAAGGACTCGACGGGAAAATAAAATTGTTTCTGTGCAGTCCCAGAGTATTTATCTCCGTAGAATTTCGTGTTGTTCTCGCTGGCTGTTTTTGCAGTGAAACCAATGCAGTCAAGCAACTCTCTTCGTGCGTTTCTTATCTGTGTGCTCGATGACGGCAGTAATCCATTCGTCCAGTCGCGCAATCCGTAATAACCGTGTGAAATAAATCAAATTTGGGTTTTGTCGTTGGTACATGGTTCATCCATCGCATTCCGGTGGAGATGATTGATTTCCTCTGCCCTCTCGTCCGTGTATTTTGTTATGATTCCGGATGACTCGTTCCGATGTTTCCTTTTAGTGTTCCCTTTTCTTTGCTCCGCACCGATCCAAAAGCGTGCATGGATGCATTTAGCGCTCAATGGTTTGCTCACGCTCCGCTTCCCACGCTCCGCTTCCACAGCGCTTCCACACTAGATTTGATCGGCTAGTAGGCTAGGGTGTGTTCTCGCTCGTTCCCTCGTTCGCTAGTTCAACGCCAGGCTCCGCTGGTACAAGTCTTCCATCAACCGTCGAAAGCGCTTTTTCGTTCCCTTGTAGTTCCTTCGCACCTTCGTCGCTTCCGGACGACCCTCCACCGCTGCCGCTGCGGAATTGTTCTTTCGAGACCGTCGCAGGATTTCTTCCCGGACCTTGCACTGGTTCAGGTACTCGGCACCGGCCGAAGCGGACGCCTGCGCGGTGGCAGTGGTCGTGGTGGCTGCCGAGGGCAAGGCCAATTGCCCCCGGCTCGCGCCGGAGGGTGCCTGGTTTTGCCTGGGCGGCGCGGGCTCCAGGACGCTCCTCAGGTCCCACAGGACGACCGTGTCGTGCATGTACGAGAATTCTTCCTCCTTGAAGCGGCCCTTCGGAATCTTTCGCGCCCGCTTTGCCCTTGCCTCTTTCTGGAGGTCCGTCGTCCCCAGAGTGACGGCTTTTTTCCAGGCAAGCTTGGCGCGCTGCTCGTTGTGGACGGTACAGGTTTCATCGGTGCAGCAACGAATGCAGAGCGATCCGGTGCAATCTGTGGTTGGTTTGTGGTGGGTCGACAAATGGCACGCGGTTGCGGTGTGTCGATTGTATTGTGTTGTTTCGTGTTCGAATTCACGAAGAGTTGTTTTTGATTGTTAGTAAGCATTGCGGTGGATACGATTCACTTGATTTTGTTTTGACAACAAACACGCTCATTCGTTCACTTGTGAGGTATTGTGAGAACCCTATCAAGTTGTGTTGTGTTGCGTTGCGTACCTTTTCTTGCCACTCTCCAGCAATTGAGACACCTGAGTTTCGTTACAGTGTTCCCACCATTGGCAACGGCTGTTGGCGATGTTGCCAGAGCAAGCTCGTCGCTTTCGTCCTCGTCGTCCTCGTCGGTAGCCTCCCCGCCGTTGCTGTTGTTGATGTCCTCTTTCCTTAGCGTATTGTCTCCCCCATCGTCTAATGGGGTCTCTTTGCTCTTTAGTGGCGGAGGCATGGCGTTGTGATCGTCTCGAATTTGTCGGGAATTGGCTATGGTATTTCCGAAGCCGACATTGCTTTGGTCTGAACAACGCGTAACCATGTGTGCCCCTCGTTTGATTCGTAGATGCTACGGTATCTCTATTATTTTGAGCGCGAACGTGTACTATGTAGTGTACGTCCGGTACAGGACTCGTACTCGTACTGTTCGTAGTTCGAAGTACGAAGAAACTTCGAGTCAATCATCGTGGGGGCGCCTGAACGAGCCAATCAAAACTTCATTTCAAATTCAGTATTTCGGGATTTTTTGGTTCTGTTTCCCCCTATTGAAATGAAATCGAGCATCAAACTCAAAAACAAAACGATCCAGAATCCATCAAATCCATCAAACGAATTTCCCACCAGTACGTACGAAGTACAGAAATATCTTTAATTTTTTGGTTGACAGTTTCCTCACCACACTAAACCGTCGCCACACCTCTCACTTCTTGACACCACATCGCACCAAATCTTGCTCTCTTGTTTTCTCGCTTCCTTCCTCCAGTCGATTCGATTCAATCCCCTCCAACCTCTTTCCTGGAATGGGGGGCGGAGGAGGCAAATCGAGAGGCAGGCGCGGAGCGAATGCCTCCCCGAATCCACCGGTCCTGTCGTCCAGGGAGGATCTCGACCGTGCCCTCCGGGACGCCGCTGCGAAGGCCTCCGAGAGCGACAAGAAGAAAGGATCCCTAGTCGTCCTCGAGTTCACCGCGGAATGGTGCACCGTGTGCCAGAAGATAGCGCCCTTTTGGCGGGGACTTGGCTCCGATGCCAAGGTAGTGTCCGCCGATCGCTTGGTCGCGCTCTACACGATCGATGTGGACGCCTCGCCGGACCTGACCAATTCGTTCGGAGCGTCCGGGTTGCCGCTGTTTGTTTTTTTGGTAGACGGCAAAAAGGTAGACTCTCTGGTCGGGGCGCAACAAACGGCACTGAGGAAGATGGTGCTCAAGCACGCATCGTCCTCCAACAAATAGCTGAACCGAGCAACGCAGAGGACGAACCAAAGACAACTCTCGGATTTAGTGTTAAAGTTCTATGGCATCTTATGTAGCCAGTCATCTGTGACGAAAAGCCTTGTTGCTTGGCTTTCTCTGCCATCGGCTCAGCTACTACGAATAGAGGTGTTGCACACTTCTGGCCGCTCTGCGTTTCGAGACCCAGTGGAACACGGAGTCGTTAAACTGGTACGTGCACTATTTTTGCGTTTGAGCACTGATGTCTCGATAGGGGTTTCCCTTTTCTTGTTGTTGTTGCTGCTGCTATTGCCGTTGCCCACGAAGTGGCATTCTCCCAATCTAAGCCTCGTCCGATGCATCTCCATGGTCGGTTCGCGGTACACAACCTGGGAGCAGAGTGAGATTTTCCGATCCAACAACTTGGCAGGTCTTCGCCCATAGCCTGCTGAGCATAGTACCCGGTGTATATTTTCGTTGTCGTCTTGCTGGCCGTTGTGATGCATTCGCCCTCGGCTCTCTCGTCTCGTTCGTTGGAATGAGAAGGTGCAAACCAAATCGCTCTTGCTCACTTCCCATCATCTGCGCATTCGTACCATTCGACCACTATTGATACACATTTTGCCTTTCTCTATATGGAAATGACAACAATGAAACTCCGTGGGCAGAGCACAGCCATGAACACACAACTCAACACGGCCGAATAAAAGAGCGATAGCATTGAATTTAAGAAAGCTGTACCAACTGCGTTTGCAGCGCCACCCGGGGAAACAAAGGCCAGAGAAATATTGCGGTCGAGCGATGAAACAATCTGTACAATTGCAGTGCGGTATATTGTTTAAAAAAATCGAAACAGTGCAACTCGAGGAATCATGAAGAGATTGTTTCCAACCCGTAAGCCAACTGAATCGCTAACGTCATGTTTCTAATCTACAGCTTACTATACAACCATATAACAATCGTCCCAACAAGATTTTTCTCTGGTATCGTCGTGTTGCTTTCTAGTGCAACCGGTGTCGAACAAACTGTTCAACGTTTTGGATCGAATCGTCCCAATCATATGTAGAAGGCAAATCCCGAACGGGAACGATAAACAAAGCAAACACAGCGGTGAACTAGAAAGAGAAATTCAAGAAAGCAAGTGCAGGAGAAGTAGTATCAGCAAATGTGAATCGATCAAATAATCAAAACGGTCCGGCCGCTTTCTTTTCTTTCGAAACGATCAATAACATGATGACTCACCCCTTGGAGAGATGCCCTGCCCTTTTGAAAGACGTTTTCGTTTCCTGCTAGCGCAATAGGACCATATTCTCCGGCGGCATAAAACCCCAGGCACGGAACCGCGGGGAATGAACGAGCAAATCGTTTCGCATCGCTCATTTCCTCGGGAATTAGGTAACCTATTTCGGGACCACGTCCATTGCAAGTATACATCAAGGCACCCAATATCTCTTCTCCTTTCGTCTGCTCCTTGAGTTTCAGCATAGTCCGATCCATGTCTTCCATGCATGCCTCTCCGTTCAAACAAAAGAAGTCCATTTCGGCTTCTTCTAGGGTTTCCAATTCCGGCTCGGATCCATCGGTCAAAATTGCGAATGCGTTAAGCGCCTGCGTCATTTCATTCAAACTCGACAGCTGGAATCCATCCCATCCCTTTCTCTTGAGTCCCAAAAAGTCGATTTGGCTCTCGGCAGCCGGAAAGTACTTCACCATCAGCTCGATTGGTGAATAGAGCACCCCCGTAGCTTTGTCTCGTATCTTTCTAATCAAGTGAATAGGCGGCTGATCGTGGCCTCCAAACAAATAGTCGTCGTCTCCGGGTCTGCTCAGGGCTGTCTCGTGAACAACTAGATCTGAGAATGGTTGCGGCGGACCATTGTTGTTCAAGACACTGTGGACACCCCGCGATACCACGCTCTTGATTGGGACGTTGCCTCCCAGAAAGACTCCGAGTATCCCGGCCCCGGAAATCGTGTACACCGAGCTGTACCTATCGCTCGTCACTGCTCGCTCCTTTTCTAGTGCGGCATAAATGCAGTCCACTAGTTCCGACTTTTCTAAAAAATTCTTTGCTGCGTCTCGGTCAACCACGCCTTCGTGAATTGCATTGGAACAGCAGTGACTCAACACATATTTGATGTTCTTTATGGACATGGAACTAAGCTCCTCCTTTGTATAAGTGGGCATGGACACGAATCCCTCTCGGCAGGCACCGCCAACGATCACGGCGCTCGGCATAAGCGCTTGGATTCGGGTTGTAATTTGGTCGGACGCCTGCACGCCGCTTCCGACTGCGTATAGAATCATAGCCTTCCAAAAGTTTTCGTCGTTGGATTTGTTGTGAAAGCGCAGCCTATGCTCCATAAACTCGAGGTCTTCGACTTGGGGCTGACCCCGAATGAGATACGGCATTATTGTGGCGCCTGGAAAACTCATAGCCATCAAAGATGCTCTGCTTTTGTAATCCAGCTTTGGTTGTCTCGATTGTACACCACTCTGGCCCAGCTCTGGTTGGTAGACCTGAATGCGTTGATGGGCAACGACATTGAGGCTTATTGCCTCACATGTTCTTGGCGAGACGGGAAAGCACGTGTCTTTCTTGATGGCATCAACTAGGTTGGAAGGAGTGGAAAATCCCAGGATCAGATTGGGTTTCGACTGAAGCTTTTTTTTCCAATCCTTCGCCATGGCACTCGAAATTTCATCCGAAGAATACGACAATACTCTTTCGGTTTTTGTTGGTTGCTCGATCCCGGCGAGAGTGAGAAGATCCGTTGTAATTGCAATTTCTGGCCCCCTCCATCGTCGATATTGGTGGACGAGATAGTAATAACGCTGCGACGTACACGCCAACCGCCCGCTGTCCGCGACGTTCAGCCACTGAATGATTCGCAGCGCAAGATCAGAGGAAATAACATCCTCGAAGAAGCTGCCGTCCCTGTTGGCACCTTCCATTGCTGAAGTGTTTTGGTGAATTTTCAAATTGATTTCAGTGCGATCAAACGAGTTACTCGAACTTTTTGATTGTGCTGCGATGGATGGGAGTTGTCACTCACCGCAAAATTTGTTTACTTCTGTTGCTGGTGATAGATTTTTCAGATCTTTTCCACACAAAACAGAGTTTTGGTAAAATAACCGGCATAACGGTATGCCACCAAACCTTTGCACCAGGATCACTGTTTATTTTGTTTCTTGTTTCGTGGTAAAACCGACTTAATCCAGTTGTTCCAAACAGATATAGTAGTAGCCTGATGAGTTGTTTGCGAAAGGCTCATTCTCTCTCTTTGGACGTACTTCTTCTACCACCATAAGACACTTTGCAAATAGTAGCCACAACCACCACGACATCCTGCTGACTTTGCGTGATGCTACTACTACTACTACTACTACTAGTACTACTACTAGAAGTTCTAAGCAAATCTTGAAAGCACAACATCATAAGGAATCCAATTGCTTGTGTAAGACCAAGTTGAAACCAACACATTTTCCAAATATCTTCCCTATAATTTGTGAACACTAGTTCTTGTAGTTAGTGATGATAATAATTTAGAATTGAGTTCAACAATGTGTTCCTTTGTCACTTGTTTGAGTTTTGATGGGTAATTTTTGATTCATATTTTTCTTGCAGACATCAAAATTTAGCTGTTGCTGCCATGTTTGTTTGTCTCCTTCTTCAAGGTCCTTCTCTAGTATCCATCAATCTTGGTGATACTTTCACAATCATCCTGGTACCAATTTTTCAGTTTGACATACCACTACTTGAAAGATGTGCAGCAAATTACTCTAGTATGGTTTGCTATTATGTGTTGTTATCAATGATGAAAGGTCTACTACCAACATGAAAAATTAGTACTTTTGATTTCTTTCCAGTACCACCAGCACCAGCACCAATTCCTGATAAAAAGAAACAGAGGATGTACTGCTATTTATTGTTCATGGTTGCCTTGAGATCTTGTACTATACTGTAGTGCTTGTTGTAGCAATTACCAATCTTCCCTTGGAGTCCCTCCTTTTTTAATCAATCAGACAAGGAAGAATGCACATATTTTTTCAGTGTCAAAACAAAAGTAGCAACAATCTAGCTATGCATTTTTCTGCTCCCTATCAGTTTGAAAACTCAACTTTGCAAAGTAATGAAAAAATATATTATCAAAGTTTTGTCTGACCTCACAATGAACTAGAAGTGGCATGATGTTGGCAAGGACCAGAACTTCTTGGGGGAACTTCTCTCCACCAGGGAGATGTGATGGAGGCATGACCATTGAGGTGGGTAGACTGGTTGGTGATGTAGTAGTAGTACTAGTGGTAGTAGTAGTAGTGGTAGTAGTAGTAGTAGTGGTAGTAGTAGTAGTAGTAGTAGTAGTAGTAGTAGTAGTAGTAGTAGTAGTAGTAGTAGTAGTAGTAGTAGTAGTAGTAGTAGTAGTAGTAGTAGTA